ATACATAACAGAAATAAATGTGTATATGTACTTATTATAAAGACTATACCAATTACTGATCAGACTAGCTTTCATGCAAGAGGTCTCCAAATTGGAAATGCGTTCTGAAACATCAACCACTATTTCCTTCAATGGATATTTCAGAACAATGACTGTCTTCACAACAGCCATTATCTTAGCCAAAAAAAAAAATCAAAATAGAAATAGATGAACAAAATACCTTTAGAATTTCTGGCTCAATTTCAGTCTATACATGGAAGTACTGGCATCATTTCCTTTCCTTTCATTTACTCACAGATAAGCAAAAGTTGGTACATCATAAATACAAAACCACAGAAAGGCAGTCACCGTTTCATTCAGTTTCATTCATATTATATCTTATCATTGCCCATTTGCCATATCTTACCAACTACTACGTAAGGCAGCAGGAACCAAGGTCACACTGACTACCTGTCATCAAAACTTCTCATATCACTTTCATTAAAATTTCTCCTGAGTGTAGTTTTTCAGAAGATACAGTAAACAGACTTTGATTACCTTTCTGTGAGGAAGAATAGGGCATGGTAGCTGCCAGAAAGAGGTGACAGGGTTGATCAGCTGTATTTCTTGGTGGATACTTGTATTGGTTAATTTGACAATGCCTCCATCCATATGTTCCAATTTGATTCTCAAACAAAAATAAAAATTTAGTAAGGATTTTTTCTTTTTTTTTTATTGCTAATACAAAAGTCCTATGGAACACAAGTAAAAGTTATGACTGCTAGTATAAAACTTGGTAAAAAAAAGTCAGAAGAAATTATATTCGGAAAATGTCATTTCATACACCTTTACCTCACAAATGGCTTCAGTCATGTATGAACTTACAGTATAACAAATTCAAATATAATCAGCAACAAAAAAGACAACATTGGAACCTCTCCCATTAACCATATATGCCGTGGAATGATTTTCACATGGTTAGTCTTTATTCTAATTAAACTGAAAATAAATACCACATGCAAGATTTACATGACAACTCGCGTTATTAATAGAGAGAGATTTAAGACATTTTTTGTTATATTTTGAATCTTATGAAGACAATAACAGATTGCATACACAACCACTATCTGAAGTTACCTAATACTTAAAACATGGAAGAATCTCTTAACTCTGACATTTAATAAATTCACATTGGACATTAAAATTTCCAAGAACACCTGGTACATATTTACAACACTACTCAAGTATAAATCTATTCATAAGTCCAGATTATTCAACACCACGCCCGAACATACCCGATTTTATTGAAAGGTAAGTAATTCTCCACTAGCATTTCCTCCTTTTGAGCTTTGGTCCTTGTATTATTCCTTTCATTTTTTATTACATGTCTCTATATGTACCATCTTATCCACATGAAATATCACACCCATTTCATATCCTACTTTCATAACTAATTTCTCACATACAGTTCTATACTAATGAACATCTGATGATTATGTCCAACTTTTACTTTCACTCCTACTGCTATGGGAGTTAGATGTGAAAAAAAAATTTTACCATAAGATATCATTTGCAAATATAACACTGTAGATGATAAATTATAAGTTAATCCTTGACCTGAGAGGAGTCTTAAACTAATTTAAGCCTTAAAAAAAAAAAAGACTAGGATCAAAGAGTGACATATTGTAAGGATGAAAAAACAGCTGATTGGTATAGCAAATTGGCATATTTTTTCTTTATTAACATTGGCTACGTAATGCAAATGTGGGGTAATAGAAAAATGACATTGTAATTTTAACTTTATAAAAGATTTATAAAAGATTTACGAAAATCTCATTTCATCTTTAATTGATTTTAATCAAGTTTTCAGAACCAACAAACCTCTACCACAAGTAATCTGGCAAGGCAATGCTTGGACTAACTCCTTATCTAACCACTAGCCGCTGGGTGGCATATACATACATGCCATGGCTGTTGTGGACTGAAAAATAGATGGCATCGTATCATGACCATTCCCATGTCATTGGCTTGTCAGATAGAGTTTGTTTTTCTTCGACAGCAGCAGCTTCATTGATATGGTAAATATTTTAGGCAATAGTACCTATAAAGAAGGTAAACCTTCAATTTTATTTTCTTTTTTCTAATTGTAGCAAAATAAAAAAACTTTTAGGTGTTAAATGTTGCTTGTAAACTACCAAACAAACCGGGCACAAACAGGGGAAACTGCCGATGCACGCCAACAATCCCATTATTACGTCCACTTGCCAAACTTTTTTACCCAGTGGCATTGGGTAAACAATACATCACCTGGAAGGTCTAGAAACTTTAACTTGCTAGAATATACATAGTAGAGCTTTGTTACAATTTCTGTTTGGAGCATGACACAGATATCAAAACAGTTTGCATGCAAATCCATGGATGTAATTGCAGAACCAAGCTTTACATGTAAGTTCATATCTTTCACTAAATACATATGCTATGTATTAGCTATGCTTCATTTGTGCACAGACCAATTATAAATAATCTCTAAAACTATCTAGTCCCACACATTCTTCAAATACAGAGAAAAACTACTGTAATGAAAATATACAATATACTAACACTATCTAAAAAAAAAAAAAAAAAAAAAAAAAAAAAAAAAAAAAAAAAAAAAAAAAAAAAAAAAAAAAAAGCCACAGTAAGACTACAATCACACTTACTCAAATCTATGCTTACTGGTGTTGTGGGTTAAAGCTATCAAGTACTGATCTATAGCTCTGGAGTTTCAGCTTATCTGGTGCAAAAAGATTATGACTAACTATACCTAGTTCACAAATAGATGGGGTAACCTATTTGTAGGTTGAGATTGTGTGCTATCTAACACAGCCCACCATATCTGTTCATATTTTATCTCCAGATATAATAATCCCATGGCTTCAGCCCCTAATTCTCTTAAAACACACACTAATAACTGTTTGCTGACCTCCTTAAGCAATCTATCATCAATTCAAGCTCTACCTTGTGAAAGTTATGTGAGGGAGGCTTGCTGGTCTTCGCTGGAGTGCAAAGCATCACTTCTCCATACAGTTCTATTCAATACAATTACCTAGCAATCCAATCAATCAAAGCAGTGCTCCAACAACTAATTCTGGCACTCTTGTGCAACTTTGGATTAGTTTGAACACCTCTTGCCACCTCCCCTCAGCTTCAAGTATGAAGTTCGTACCACTTTATGGTTTTATCTAACTTTGCAGCTTCGTTATTAACAGTTTATTAAAGTTTACAATAGTTTTGGCTCTAGTGTAAGAAATGTTCAGAGGCATTATTAAGTGCTAATACGGCCAGTTTAGAAAGAGGCCTGGAAGAAAGGATAAATTTAGAAGCAATGCTATATGTTACTGGCATTTCTTCATAAATCTTGTATGCCACAGCATTGATTACTAATTTTTAAAGTTTCACTAAGCCAATCAACCTTGCAATTATTATTCCTTGTTTCAATCATCAGTTTACAATGCATGAATCTCTCTCACCGTTTTCCTTGATATATGTTATCTAAAAGTATGTATTCTTAATAATTTCTTGAGAGACCATAGCCTCTGAGACCCAAGTCTCTATTAATGCTCCAACTCCTGGGAATCAACAATGACCATGTGTGGGGGGTTTCACCTCCAGACCCTCACCCAATGGTTGTATTTTCCTCAGCCTCTGACCCACACCCCACTCTGGAATTGGTGATTCCTGTCCACAAGAGATTTAAGCTAATATAAATCAATCAAGTTTTTCAAATACTGAATATCTATACATTGAAATATGCCAATGACATTAACAATGGGGAATATACGCCAGCATACAATGTTTCGAAAGAACACTTTGCCAAAGATCTTTGGTAGACAAGAGGGCCTCAATTTCTAGACTGGTCTCCACCTGACTGCTGTTAACTTGCCCTCAGTGCAATATTTGCTGAACCCCATTTTCTTCATTTCTGGCATTAATCTTTGCCTGTGCATATTATTTCCTCTAATAGAGTTGTTTTTTCCCTTTCTTTAATAGCAGTTCAATAAATTTTCCTGTAAAAGTATTCCAACTGCACAACTTCCTTATTATCAACTTGCATATATGAAAAGGGTTTTATTTTTGGTTGTTCTGTCCATCACAAGCATTTTTTTTCTTGTACCATATGAATGTTGAAACAAACAATACAGTCAACTTTCATAAGATTTAAACTTGAATATACTAGGCAAATGCTGGCATTGCAGCAAAGAATAAAAAACCACAAACCTCATTTTTACCAACAATATAGTTTATACTACGGTATTATTGGAAAAAGGCATCACCAAAGAAACGATAAAAACCAACCTTACAGGCTTGAAGATATTCAATTAATAATATATTTTCATTTAATAAACTTCATGCAAATGAATAATAACAGCTATTTAATCATCAAAATAAAATAATATTGAAAGCTATTACAAGCTATGAAATTCAATTTTCAAATTAGTCTTGCCATGGCTTCCATGTGTGTTATGTGTCGTAACAAACTATACCTAGTTACAAAAAATTATTTTGAAGAGGATGAGGCTAGCTTGAAACTATTACATGAACACAAAGTGCTACCTATGTGCCCTGCGACCCACCGTCACGATATCACTCGTGCTCACACACACCTCTCCGGCACTCCCACTCATGCAAGCCACTCCACTGATATCAGTAACCTCTGCATAGGTAAGTTGTAAGGTCTAATTTCATTGAAGTGACTAGATGTACGGTTCTTCGCATACGTACTAACATCATCTGTCCAACACTCTTTCCTGCCATGAATACGTGGAGGATTGTTTGTTTTCCTGGGTGGGGGTTAAGGGCAATATCCCCCATGGGGGGATTGAAGAGGGCACAGCCCCCTACATTAAACAATATAGTTACTTAATTGATATCATGATTACAGCAGTGGAGAATTTGGTCAGTATTCCCACAATGATTGTGTGAAACTCACCTTTTAATATTTTTATTTATTTAGATAACTAACTTTTTCTTATTACTTTGTGAGACAAGTAAATTGAATGATATGTAATCATTAGTTAAATATCTTCAAGGCTGCAAGATTAATTTTCACTATTTCTCAGGGGATGCCTTTTTCTAATTTACCTGTACTACTCCCTCAAAACTGATAATCAAATAAGTAACCAACCCAAGCCCTATATTGCCAGAATACCTGGGATGATGATTTGTTGCCTTTCCTAAAACACATGAGGTTGTGGTGATAATTTAGCACCAGAACTGTATGTTGAATTTACTTGACTATGTTAATCTTCACATATTACAGCAAATTTCATGTGAATTTAGCCAGACCATATACAATTATGAAACAAAAGTTTTAATAAAAAAATTACTGCTGCAGTGATCTACAGATTTATCTTACTGCTACCCAAACAAACAGATGCTGACTGGGTTACTGAGAACCTACCACTGGTTATTTTGGCAAAAATACAAGGCAAGCCAGTTTTTTTCCCCTCTTCCAAATATACCCTTTGACCGGCACCTGAAACTTCCTATTTTTTAGTCCATACCGAGGCAGTTTGTATATTCCAGGCTTTCAAAGTTAAAGAAATAATAAGCAGTACCTTGCAACCGAAACAAGGCGTTCACCACAAGCCAAGCCAAGCGGGGACGACCAAGCCAGCCCTGCCTATCCTTCCATCCACTCAAACTCGTCTACCAAGATCCATTAACGATTTTCACTACGAAATTTTTCACACAACTAAGTATTGCCAACAATGTGCAAATTTCTCCTTACTGAATAATCATGAATCCACGTAGGAAAATAAATAATAATCTCCTCTAAAATCCCTACAGCACGCCTTCACGCTTAACACACACAAATTACTATAAATATCCGGTGGTTGACTACAAGAACACACTGTGGCTCCAGCCAAGTTACCTTTACTGGAAGAATCTAGTTTAAAATATTAATAATAATGAAATAAATGATTCTGGATCTCCGTATTTTCATCATAAAACCAGTTTTAGATGCTACAAATACAGATAAAAAAGAAAGCTAGGGGTTAACTGTTTCAAGTCGACTCCGACTTAGTCGTTCCACGCAACTGCCTTCATTCAAACTACGTATCAGCACGAATAACACTCTAACAAGGGGCAATTATGCACCAAATCACCACATAACGAAATCCAAACACTTGCCTGAAGAGCTCATGCACTTTTTTCGACCACCAAGATCCGAGAGAGAAAGCTGGTTGATAAAAAGTCCCGGTAGAGCGAGCGCCGCACGAGGTCCCACCGCCGAAGACCTTCCTGTAGTAATGGCGTCGACGCGGACTCGCAGCCGGGGAGCTTCTATCGATCACCAAAATGACTCCGCCTTCACAAGATGGCGGTAATTTCGCACTCTCGTCTTCTCTCTCTACTTTTGGTTTGCCACTTGCTTCGGCTCCTTCTTTTCTCTCTAAAGCTGCCTAATTCAATAATGCTTGTGTACGGAGGCGTGTGGGGGAAGTTTAGGGGAATGCGGTGGGCGGGGGTGGTGGGCGTGCGAGAGGGAGAGGGAGAGGTTCTTCGGGTTTCTTTTGCTGTGGTGCGCTTTTGCCCGAATAATTACGCTAAGGGAACGTTCGATACGGAAGGGAACTGAGGCTGCGTCCACGGCTGTGGTATCAAAGGGTTATTGCTTGCATTTGCTTTCAGTGTGATTTTAATCATACTTGGATGCATATTTCAATAAATTCCTTTTCAGCATTTAGATATTCACTGGGTGTTATACGCACGCATCACAGCAGCAAGACCTGAGCGTAGGCGTGGCCATGTACACACACACAAACACACATGTATACATATATATATATATATATATATATATATATATATATATATATATATATATAAATATATATATATATGTATGTATGTATGTATACACGTATATATACATACACACACACACACACACACACACACACACACACACACACACACACACACACACACACACACACAACACACACATATATATATATATATATATATATATATATATATATATATATATATATATATGAACACAAGCACAAACATAGTACAGTGAACACAAAGATGAAAATGAAACTAGCCACAATGAGAATTTTCAATTCTCATTGTGGCTAGTTTCATTTACACACACACACACACACACACACACACACACACACACACACACACACACATATATATATATATATATATATATATATATATATATATAAAATTTGGGCGAGCCACTGTTGACTCAGTGTCATTCTACTAAGTTTCAAAGAAAGGATATTTCTGGTATTTAGCTTTCGTGAATCATCTTCTAGTGTGACATAATTTTTTTTTTTACTTTTTCTCCAAGTTTGAATAATGAGGTCAGTGACCTCTCCCGTATTCAGCGAATATCTTCACATAAGTAAGGTCAAATAAAGGCTTAATTAATCTATTCTTCATATTCAGGTCTTCTGCAGATTGTGTCAATTCTCTATAAAGACAATTTCTTTACCGACTCACCCTTATCATAACTTGATGTGCATATACAACCTCTGGTTAGTATATAATCTGGAACGCACTGTTTAATCCTCAGTCATTTATGTATAAATGTATACATTTTCATATCACATCGTATACAAACACACACACAACACACACACACGCCTACACACACAAGCATAACCTATCCGTTCTTATATACCGCTCATCTCCTATTCTATATACCGTTATAAAATTAAGATAATATACATAACCCGCTTCGGGACCGCTAGCTATCATAATGTACACCGACCCACCACTTCACACACCCACAACCCGCACACTATACTTAATACTATTATACAGTATCCTCACTATGATCACCCATGAGATCAGATGTTGACATATACACACGTTATCATCACAATATAGATATATATATAGCTACTACTAGAATGTACGACACACACACACACACAGCACCCACACACACCACCACACACACACATTATACTATATATATGTGATGTGACGTGTTGTGAGTGGCGTGTGCTTCGGTGTGTGTGCGTGTGTTGTGTGTGTTGTGCCTGTGCGTGTGTCAGTACACAGTTCCCCATGGATATTATATGTGTGTTATATATTAATATATATATGTTGTGTGTTGTGTGTGTGTGTGTTGTGCTCTCGTGTCACTGCCACCTACCATGCTCACTATATGTATATGTACTGACTTGGTGAGTGACTCACACATTTAATATAACTATACTAATAAATTGTAATACGTATATCGCTAGTCCATCTGGTACTTATTATTATATTATTTACATTGTGTGTGTGTTTGTGTAATATTCCATCAGTCGGATGAATGTGTTGTAGAAGTGAAATATATTCATACATTTATTTGTTCAGATCTTATCAAGTGAGATATGCGGTAGTATGATAATATCAATATAGATCTATTCACTGTGAGCTTATACAGTTTATGACCATGCTACTGAGCATACTTATGGATGTAATGTATATTATATATACATATATATTTGATAGTTATTCATATGTTCTTATACATATATTGATTCATTATATTATTGTATAGACACAGCTAATGAATTTTATGTCGCTATATGTGTGTAAATCTATCTCCTACTTCATATATAAAGTGTGCGTTATTGTGCAATCGTCGTTTATTACTGAACCTCAACAACCTGAGTATATGAGTGGTATTATGATACCATATTATAATACAAGAATAACACAATTATATATATGCCAAGTGAGTTAATATATATGTACTGGTGTTATACGTAACATACCACACTTAATAAACGTTATATTATATATGTGTCGTGGTGTGTGATGGTGCCTATTGTGTCGGTGTGTGTGTGTTGTGACGCACCGTCGCTAATAATGTGTGTCGTGTGTGCTGTTGTGTGTGTGTGTGTTGTGCTCTGTATATGGGTGTTGTGTTTCTTGCTTTTGTGTGTGTGTGTGATTTTTTTAGTGATCGTGGCACTGGTAATGGTGGTGTGTATGTGTGTGTGTGTGTGCCTCCGTTTGGGTCGTGCCTATGTGTACCCGCGTCATACCTATCGTGTATATGCATATGCATTACACACACACACACACACCACACACCACACACATCACCACACATACAACACACGCAAACATCCCCACACAACTCAAACAGCACCACATGACTGCTATATCCTATTATTCTATATATATATATAAATATCTTGATGTGTGTGCTTGCTGTCGTGATGCGAAGTGTGTGTGTGCGTTCCGCGTGTGTGTGCGTGGTGCACTGATGCTGCGGTGTGTGCTATACATGACGTGTACACGCACACTTATCCTTATACTCTCCATTTAATTTTCCTATACAGTATTGAAGAGTGATCGATTTATCTTATCAATAATTATAATGAGCTGTCGTTCACTGTTCACCTATTACCCATATCTTCTACTATATCTCAAGTCTTTCTGCCCTCATCAATGTACAGAGTATATAGTACTATTATCATTGTATGCATGGTATATAAGATTAATCATGTTGTAGTTCCTACTCTTATTAAATGTTATATTTTGAATAGTGAACACCGCGAGAGCGCTAGATTGGATTAATGGCGTATGCTGTCTAACTTAGCTTTTGCAGAACTATCTTAACTCTACCTTAACGTTTTGCGCGCGACTCCGCCTTGCATCATCTTTTCAACGGCCTCGTGGGATTGGAATGTATAATACTACCTATAGCCAATTTTCATTGCGACATAGATTGAAATAGTAAATAACCTATAGAACTTCACACAATCAGCCTACTTCATATTTTCGCGATGTAATTTCCTCAGATGCCCTTTCTGACTCGGGCATCACAATACATTAAAACTGAAGACTCATCATTATCTCCTCAATTCATATTAGCCTGTGTTCGAATCTAACTGTACCATTCATGTGCACTAGGCCGTGGATGAGGATAGCGCTTCGAGTGTTAAAAACCAGAAAATAACAACCACTGCCAACTCGGCATGTCAGTTCGTGTTATAGTTCTTCATATAATTAGAGTGAATTACTGAAGAACACTTCATTCTTAATATGCACTAGGCCTAGTGTGGCCCGACTCCGTCGTATACACTTCCCGAGAGTGAGTCTCCAATAAATCCTCCAGTCGTCGTCGGACCCGTTCCTACTGATTTAACTATCACACTGGTAGCTTGACGCACACTGTCTAACAGAGCATTTGATGCACTTCGCTGTCCTACTTAGAGCTAAACCCAATATCGACTTTCCACTTTTCTCTTACGTAAATCACGAAGCTGCTCAAGCGCATTTTGCATCACTTGTTCATATCGCGAAGTAAACAATACTTCATTACTCATCCGTGAGTGCTGTTCGATGAGTCAAATTAACAGTTAAGCTTATATACCTATATCGACTAAACGAAAATATATATCCATGCCTGTGGACGCGCAGCTACACTCTGATAACGAGAGCTAAAGGTCGGTTATCCTTTTGTGTTTTTCACAATATGCGCTACTCAAGATTATTTTATAAACGCAGCTTATACTATCTGGAGATACCCTGGTTTTCAATCCTAGAGCGAGAGAGAGAGCGGACATAACAGGGATATATTACAGAAAATGTTTGAAAAAGCTATAACAGTATTATAGTTAATAACATTAATAAATTAAAAGCAACGATACGCTTAATTACTTATTGTATATAGTCTATATGTATGCTACATACACACAACACACACACAACACTAGCATACACACAACACACACACACATTATAACACACACACACACCACACTCACCACACCCATCACTCACCCTGTAAAACTGAAGGACACGCGTTGGGGCTAATTATGCAGCGGGCCACAACGCACAACCTCAACGACACAGCGCGCCAACGCACACCAGTAAACAGCGCACCACACAGCCACCCATTGTACGCCATATACTTATCTGTCTTAGTATTATACTTTATCTATATATAATATATAGATACAAATATATATTTATATGAGTTTGATGTGTGTGTGTGTCTGTGTCCACACATCCGCATACAAAAAACACACAGAACGTACACGCAAAGGCACACAACTATATATATAATATATAATACAATGAGATATGAGCGATCCACGGTTATCTATAAAACTAATAATCTAGTTATATATATACATATAATACACTACACGTCTTCCAACTTATGTATAATACTTTATTATATACATATATGGCTTCGATACTCAATATGATGATGTTAAAGTAATACTATGACAATACTCTTTATTCATATATACTAACCATATATGAATATTGTAATAAATTACTCAACTGTACCTCATAGAATCTCATTACCGGTGAGTATTACATTATTTACCGACTATCGACTCCACACTATACCAATAGTGATTTATTCTGCTGTGTCAATAACATTACACTCTCATCTATATATGATCACCTTATATTATATCCGAAACACGTATATAATATAACTCTAGACCTGTATACTTATTGTAGGTAGTTCCTACTACTAATATTAAGTCATCACACGAATTCGCAATTAAAATGATCACACGTGCGCACTACCCGTATATAGCCGACAACTCACAAACACTTATGCAGTTAGCCGTTTTACTATACAAAGTTCTACATTATTCCTAAGTCCTCATTAGGTGATACTATATATTGAAATATATCTGCAGAACTCAATCATCTCTGTATCTCGTATCTTTTATGTTCACGTGATATAATCGCATAAACGAAGTAATATCATTCCATATTATTATTGACCCGTTCACCTATTTCCTTTTACGGAATCAGTTTGTTATCATGTGATAGTTGTGTATGATGTTGTGTGTCGCATCTCGTGGGTGTAGTGTCTCCGTAGAGAATGATCGCTCTCATCCCTGTGTGGTGAGTGTTATATTATGAATATTCATTATACTTTATCATAGCTCAGTTCTATATATCCCAATACCTATACGTATCACTCTAGTAATATATATCTCTTGATAATGATAAAATCACTAATATGATGTAGTGTGATCCGACTCTGATAACCGTTCACACTTGTGTGTGTGTGATATGTATTAGTATTAATGATACCACAATATGATCCAATAAATAGATGATAAATAGATATGTATTTCATAATCACCCGCTCATGTCCTTGAACTTCTTTTACCACCTCATATTAATTCAATATAATTTATCCCCTTTTCGCATTCATTTATTTGTTTATCTTCACACCTTGATTCTTGATTTTATTAGAGAGAGACAGAGAGAGAGAGAGACAGAGAGAGCGAGACTAAATTAGATTATCTTATCTTACGTGACTGCTGACATAGCACGTTCCACCCATATTTTTTTTTATACTATTCCATAATTATAGCCTATAACCTTTAGTATCTTTTAGACCATCTCATGTTCAAGTAATAACATAAACATAAATGAAATTATATTAACGATAGGCCTATCTTATAATACGTTTACTTACGATAGAGCTTCATAATTATAGAATATGATGTCATAATTACAGGCTGTGTTTATTCTACATACAAGGCGGGGTTCCTGAAGGTGACAAGGAATAGTATTTCATGTACCAACTAACGCACTTAACGTAATAATGGGAAAAAGGTGTAACATTTATGGCGGTAACATGGTTTTGTGTATTAATCTAACCTTAATAGAGCTCTCGTAAACAAAACACAGTGCTTAACGAGTGCTAAGGTGTAGCATGCCGTTATTATTCTTTTTTTTTTTTTTTTGTCTTAACACAATTTTCTATATTTTGATTATTATTATTCATAAGTTAAGAATCTCTTCCACTGACACTAGAAGGCATTTGACTGTGCTTTGTAAAGACAATTTTTTATAATTTATGCTATATCCAGTAAAAGTTCAGCTTTACTATCTAGTTGAAATATGTTTAACTCTTTGTGTGCACATGCGCATATTTCTATGTGTGTGTCATTGCGTATTCGTGTCTGTGTATGTGTGCAAATATGTTTGTTGTTTGCGTACCAATGTGTACTTTTATGTGAGCACGTGTTCTCTGCGATCCCCCAAATGAACCCACTTCCCTGTGTTAACGCGAGAGACCTACGTAGTTTACATTCAGCAGTGCACCTTTACCGTTCATCCGCAAGTGAAAGATTGAATACAGCAGCAAGAGGCATCAACCTTTTTTGAGACAAAACAATCTTATTTGCTTATTTAATACACGCACGCAAGCACGCGCACGCAAGCACGCATGCACACACACACACATACACATACACACCACACACACCACACACACACACACACACACACACACATACACACACCACACACACACACACATACACACACACACCACACACACACGCACACGCACACGCAAACACACACACACGCACACACACACGCACGCACACATACACACTCACACCCACACACATATGCAGACACAAACACACCACGGAATAAAAATCAACACACACACACACACACACGCGCGCACACACACACACACACACACACACACACACAGGCACCAGCCTTTTTTACACAAAACAATCTTATTTGCTTATTTAATACGCACACGCAAATACACACACACACACGCGCGCGCGCGCACGCACGCACGCACACACGCACGCACGCACGCACGCACGCACGCACGCACACACACACACACACACACACACACACACACACACACACACACACACACACACACACACACACACACACACACACACACACACACACACACACACACACACACACACACACACACACACACACAGAGACATACACACTCACACCCACACACATATGCAGACACAAACACACCACGAAATAGATATCAATACGCACTGACGCACATACGCACACACACCCACCTCGAAAAAAAAAAATAATAAGATCCAGCAACTAGCAAGTACTGAAATATTGAAAGGGAGCTTTGGATATTGATCATTTTGCGGTCAAATAACCAGCATTCGAAGTATTTTGTAAGCAGTGTCAATTGTTAATACAATATATTTCATTTAGTACGTAAATTTGATACTGACAACAGCTTTCCGAATATCTCCAATAGTTTCTCGATTTAAAATGGTTAAAATAGAACTCAAATGTTTATGGAGAAGACAACTGAAGCTGAGTACTTCTTTAGTTTCCACACATACGAATCGTGCAGAGCATAGAATATAAGCATGTATTACTACAACATAATTCTTCAAGGCAGATGCACAGCAATAAACACAAATAACATATGACAAATGAGGAATCCACACACACACACACCTCACACTCACTCCGCGCCCGTGCGCTTACACACACGCACGCACGCACGCACACACGCACACACACATACACACCCACACACCCACACACCCACACGCACGCACACATTCTCATACACACATATATGCACACCCAAACACATACGCACACTCTGACACACATACACAATGAAATAAAATCCACACAGACCAGCTACACACAACACATGTATTATCCATACACACGTACCCATAATATAACTTACACAATACATAAATACATACAGCACATCATACATAATGAATCCACCCACGCATACATTTGTGACGCCTGGATATAAATTATGCAACACACTTACCAAGATCTACATTTATCTCCCGCATTTCCTTTCCATCTGTTACACCCTATTTTCCAAATATTTGCATTATATATTTTTTTCTTATTAAACAATCGCCGGCTTTTTCTTTTTGATTAATGCAAGAAATTTATTCCCACAGCCCTTTATTCATTATTGTTCAAATTTATTTTCAAGCATCCTATTCGTCACCCTGATAATATATTCTTGTCAGCTGAACATGGTATTGTGGTTTTGTGACTTTTCGTCTCGAGAGCCTTTAAACAGGCTTGTAGTTAGTTCCTGAACTTCTGAGAAAGCATATTACTATGACCTTCAAGAGCCCTTTTCTAGTTTTCCATTTGTTTTGTCTTCTATAAGTATAATCGGTAGTTTCATTTTGATTTCCATGTATAGTGGTACTTCCTTGCGCTTGGCTGTATCTGCTCTAAATTTGGACAATGTCATTCATCAGAAAGGTTGTCACCATTGTATGTCGTTTTTTCTTATTCTGTTGTTTTTAGTCCCTAAATATGAATAATTAGCTCTCAGATTTCTTCTTTGGTATTTTTAATGGCATAGTGCTACATAGAACCCAGAACTGTTTGAAAATCCAGCCAACACTGCTCACAGCTTGTAGTAACAGAATTGCTGGGTAGCAAGGATAGTAAAAATAAAATGAAAGAGTTGATATTCATTTTTGGGAAATTGAGTACAGTGGTTAAAGTAATCCCGCTCAAAAATAATGAAACAGTATAACAAAGACAAGCTTATAGAGTAATTCTTATTTTGTTTCCTTGCATTCTTTCATATATTACCAGAGTACTTCATGTCAGGAAATGATGTTTGCATCTTAACTGGAGGCAAAATCAGTATCCTCCACAGAGATGATACCACTATTTATCCGGCCGAATTACGTTTCATGAGGAAATTGGGAATATTTCATCTCACTTTCTCAATTGCCAACACTTCTTGCGCATTATATATCATTGCATCTGAAATACATGGTATGTTTTGCAGTATTTACTGAACACATACCTAATAAACTTGATAATGTTGATGGCAAATTTCTGAAATAAATGACAAAAAAAAAAAAAAAAAAAATTCAGGTCTACAATTTTGTAATTCCAGAAAATATACTACTACTGTACTTGCAGAAAATCATTTGCCATTGGTTATAACTATTGTCAAAATTTATATAATTTTACCAGCCAAGTAACACTAGAATTAATTCTAAAAAGACTTTCACCTTTGTGACCCTATTTAGGTAAATTATGAACTACCCATAAAAAAATGTTCATGGTAAAAATAATAGGAAACATTTGTCTTGTGCTGATCTTTACAAGGAATGGAGTGTAAAAGCTGAAAATCATGTTTTTAGTCACATTTGTGTAAAAGGAAGTTGTTTGTGATATACAGTGGGAAATGGGGAACACCAAATAAACTACAGGTTGAATACATTCTGTAAGGGGAGCTCTTTCAAACGTGATAAAATTACAAAAATTACAGTTAGTTGTTTCAAGAATTCCATTTGTGTATCTTCACGCCACTAAATTGCCCTGCCTGGTCTGCTTGTGTGTAATGCAATGTTGAAAAGTATAATGTACAATAACTGTTAAGGAGACAACACAGTTGACTGGCAAAGCGTCTGCAGGCTTTGCCCTCATACCATACAGCTAGCATCAGTGAGTAAAAAATATAGGAAAGTTTTTGTCCACAGAAGTAGTTTTCTTTTTATAATTCTGGGATGCAAAAATCCACAGGTCAGAAAATAAAAATACAAAGAAAGAATTGTTGAACTTTATTATAACAAAAAAAATGCTTTCAGGAGTCAACCAAAAACTTTCAAATAGTTTGTACTACCACAAATGTCTGAGGCACTTCAACTGAATAACTAAAATTATGAATAATAATATGGCATGACTGTAGAACATCCATTCACAACACATGCATTAAATGGACAATAACATGAAAAAATACAAGTAATTTCATATTTCTGATTATACTTGTTCTAATATAATTCAAATCAACAGTAAACCTATTATGCCATTTCAAATACTTTGAAACATATAGCTAACCAACTAGGCAGTGATCAACACTTATAGAGCAAAGAAAGTATACATCTACATAAATCAGAAAAAAACTGTTTAGAGGATATTTTACTTTTTTTCATTATAATTTTTTAATGATATTTCTCCTTTCCATGACATCGTCAGGTTTACTGTCAATCTTCAAATAATTATAATATTTTCAGCTTTGCAACACAACTCTTGTGAGCCATTCCTTCTCTTAACAAAACAAAGAGTCTTAATTTTGTTCTTGTGTCACATATTTATTTTTCAAATTTTAAGTTTCCTCTCTGGATCTGAAAAAGAAGAAACCATACATAAGAAATATGATATAAAATATAATTTCTGACATGAAATAAAATTCAAATATTGAGAGTTCTACAAGATACTTTTTCAAAAGTGAAGCTACACTGAATGATTATGAATACTATATAATTCCCTACCAACCTTAGCCTATGATCGAGATCGGCTGCGTTTCTTGAAATCAGGAGAATCACTTCGACGACGATAATCATCATACCTACAAAGATGAAAATGTTGCATATAGAAAAAGAGTTAAAACACTGCATTCTAGAGATGGCTCAGAACAACAAAACAGTCACTTAGTAGGCCCTAATTTCCCTTTTCCATGACTGTAAAAGTGTCTAGATCATATTAACCCATTCGTCCCGGGTGTCACATATATGAGACACAGGGAAAAAATAAACAGTTTCGGGCTGCCCGCCAGTGCGATGCTGTCTCGGAGCCGTGCTCCGCGGCAAAAGCGGCGGGCGGCCGGGTGGGCGGACAGACTCCGGAGAAGCTCCGCTCGCCGATTTTGTAGCTGCCCGGATTTTTTAAATTTTGGCTACAAAATGTACCCCGGCGCGGGTGGGTTAAATTTGGTAATATGATTGTCATTATTGCTATTATGATCATCATAGTATCATTGAAATATCAATATCAATAATAAAAAATAATATTAACATAAATATGAAGCTTTCCCAAAATCTAGGACAAGGGAAAACAGGTGAGATAGGGTGGACTAGTAACTGACCCTTGGTGACTAACCTCTTGGGTGCCATCTGTATAAACAAAATCTATAGACTAAAATCACAGTAGATGCAATTACCATATTCGGGATCCTATTCCTGCCTGCCATAACTGGTGGCACAGGTTGTATTACAGAAGATTGAATACTAAAAAAATATATAAAAGTGACACAAATAACAAAATATTTCTTATTGTTATTATCATTGCACAAAGTTAGGGACTACCTAGAGAGTTGACATGAGAGTCTCCCCCCCCCCCCCCAAAAAAAAAGTATTTCCATCTGAATAAAACTAAAATAATACTGAAAAAAGGAGGCATACATTCTTGTCATTGAAAAACTGTTAATTCAAGTAAGCCTAATGCTCGTTTTTGGGTCACTAGTGGGCAGTGAGGCATCCTGATCAAAGGGTTAAAGAATATAATTCAATTACATAAATTATTCATTTTAATTATCATAAATGACTAATAGAAAATTAGAAACATCATAAGTAAAAAAAAATAGTTAGATTAAGGAGTGATAGTGACTAATAGCAATAACTACCACTTTGATAAAGTTCAGATAAAACTCTTAGTAAACTCAACTTATAATCAATAATAATGAGTTTGCTTTAAGTTGTTTTCTTGGTTTACAAAGAAAACAGATGAAGGAAGAATTGGAAGATGAAGATGGTGAGAGAGATAGAATGAGAAGATAGAAAAATAATAAAGGGAGAGAACAAAAAGGCGAAGATGGGAAAGAAAAGAAGAAAAAAGAAAGAAGAAGAAAATGGGGGAGAAGACTTAAAAAACTACAGCCAATTCCTACTCAGATATGCAGAATTATCTAAGACAGTTAGTACAGATACCGCTAGACACAGACCTTGGTGATCGAGAAACAGACCTGGGGGAGCGTGACCTTGACCGCCTTGGAGACCTTGAGCGGAATCGGCCACCCATGCGGCGAGGTGAGAATGACCTGTGAAAATGGTTAACTTAATCGCAGAGCAATTGCTTGTGTGACTCTTGTTAAGGCTCTTTGAAGTCACCACTTCTTTAAATACACAAAACTTTTTATGAGAGCACTTTCCATTATCATCATACTCAAGTTACTGGTATTATTACATTTTTAAAAGTCTACAAAGTAAATACATAATTTCAATGAAAAAGAATGAAATACTGAGAAGACTCAAAAACTGTGATAACTGGGAGAATCACTTGGTATTTCTATGCCTGTATGGACTTCCTTGATCATTAATAAAGTCCTGAATGCTACATCTTGTCTTAGCTGTCCATCTAGAACTGATGTCAGCTTGATTATGTTAAAATAAATGAAGTTACATTTGAAAAAAAGTCACTGATATGAATGAAAAGCATTCAGTCACAGAGAGAGCTTAAGGGTATATCCCCTGAACTTTTACTTTGAAACCATCAATGTTACAGATTACTCTAAAATGGAAAATGCCCTTCCAAAGAGAACTGAGCAGCTGTAAAAGATTTATGCCATGAGCTGACCAGTCCTATCCCCAAGCCACCTGGGTGACACATAATATTCCTGTTAGAGATTCAAATGTTACAAACATAAAGACAAATATAAAAACAAATGAACCTTTAACAGGTAGAGAATTTCTCCTCATGGTATTGTCCTTAATGACAGGATTCATACCTACGCTTGACTGCTCATCACAAACTGACAGACTGTAGAAATTGATACCGGTCCAAACAAGAAGTGTATCACCACTGCAGCGAGCCACAACGATGAGTGGAGGCATGATGAATGTAAGAAAGTGGAGCGGGCGTTGAAAGGTCAGAGACCCAGATCATGAGTGGGGGGGCAGGCCTGATGGTGCGCAGGCGTAGACGGGCGGGGAGAAGAGGGCACGTGAAGCGTATTAGACTGCCCGGGTGCCATGAGGTGCGGCGCTGAAGGATGGCCATCAGGCAACGTGCCGCACACCACCACCACTGCACATGCCTTGGCTGATCAGAGCTCACCACCTTCTTCCACACTGTTGCACGAGGCTCCCCTATAGAAGAGGCATGACAGCACCTTGTGGAACAGCCATCCTCCGCTGGCTAGGTGAGCCTGAGTCCTCAGTGTGGCCTTAGGTGGCAAGTAACAGATGCATCCAGGGTGTGCCTATCCCAGTACCCTCACACCCAAACACTGGATTTCCACTGAATAAGCAGGCTGAAGCTGTCACTAGCAGTGGTGGTGGAAGTACTTGTGGTGGTGGTGGCTGTGGTGGAGTTGGTGGTGGTGGTGTGGTAGCAACAGTAGGAGGAGTAGATGGTGGTGGTACAAGAGGTAATTTGGGCGAGATAGTCCTGTAATGGGTCACACATGACAATTAACATAA